AACAAGTTCTGACTGTATACTTCAGTTTTCCCCCTTGTTCTTATCATTGAGCTTCCGTATAATTGTTGCATGATGAATTCCTTCAGTAATCTGCTGCGTTCTAAGTCCTTATCCCTCCATCCATTCTAACGCAACTGCCAAAGCAACGTTTCTTAAATACTGCATATCTTACATTCCTTTTCCTTGATTAGACATTAAAGATTACATATTGCCGGAATAATTTATTATTTTTTGTCTGAAATTCAAAACTTTTTTCAAAGTTCTTCTTACTTCTTCCACAACTTCCTTGTGCAAAAGCATTTCTCCAGTGTTAGTCTTCTCATTAATTCTAGAACACTCTTTTCTCTCCTGTACCTTAGAATCTTTGTTCAGCTGTACTTCTCCCTTAAACTACAATTTAATAACCAAATATTCCTCAGAACTTCCCAAATTAAACCTTTTGGGAAAGTAATTTCTCCTTCCTCTAAACTCCTGTAGTATGTATTGATCACCATGGTCATTTTTTACTAAGCATAGACGTTATTTACTTCTAATTTGAAAAGTATGAGATTTTACTCTAAGACAAATTTATAAACCTCTTAGTATTATTAGTTACCTATTTGTTGTCTGTGCTTCCTAATGGTAATCAAATACTCTATAACAACTTTACATTATTAAATAATAACATGTTGGCACTTGTGTTCTTCTAAATCTCTTTTAAATAGACATTTGGTTTTTAATGTATTCTAAAGTTTTGGTTTTTAAAGTATTGATGAAGAATACAAAGGAAATAACACTCAACTAAAGCCTTATCTATCGGTTTTGGAAATCACAGAGAAGAGAAAAAACAGTGAAAGTAATATTTCTGAAACATATTGTTGAAATTAATTCAAGGGCATTATTTTCACTTGAGTAATGGAATGGCATCTTACATTCAGCAATTGCAAGTAAAATAAAAATTATATAGTAAAATCACCCCCCAAAATACTTTAAATTCCTCATAAATATGTGTGTGTACATTAAAAATCTTTATAGTAATATGAATGTATGATTATAAAATACATAGGTAACTGTACCATACACTAGAATACATTTGTAAATATTTTACAATATTTTTAATTATATAAAGAAGTTACTGACAGTTGAATTTAGGTAATCTTAGTAAGCATTTGCTTAGGGTGCAAATCATTTGAGAGACAGATCTGCATAAGTTAAAAGTAAGATTCAGGAAATCATCTCTGGATTTGATATCTGGTTCTCTCAATGTCCTGTGACTTTGATGAAGTTGCTTTAATGTTCTGCAGCTTGGTTCATTCATCTCTACGTTGGAGATAGTAATAGTCTCCAATTTAATTGTGTTGTTGTAAGCACAGTGTTGACTAAATGTGCTTAGATTTATGTTTGGTATAGTGTTGGCACTCAATAGTTTTAATCATGATAACATTCGAGACCACTCCCTACAGGTTAAATTAGTATTGCTATTAGACAAGAAATACTGTTAGAAATCTGAATAAGGAAAGATATTTGGATTCATACTCAGACAGGTAAAACTAAAGAAAAATAAAGAGGTAGTTTAAATCTACGCTGTTAATTTTTGTGCCACCAGTTAAGTGAAATTCAACTTCTGAATAATAGCTGAAAATTTACATTTGCTTGATTTTTCACATATGCTATTTTGTTTCTTATTTACTCAAAAGATAAGTCTGGTTCTGTGTATCAATTTTTTAAAAATATTTATTTTTGAAGGAGAGAAAGACAGAGTGTGAGCGGGGGAGGGTCAGAAGAGAGAGAGAGAGAGAGACAGAATCCAAAACAGGCTGCAGGGTCTCAGCTGTCAGCACAGAGCCCGATGCAGGGCTTGACTCACGAGCTGTGAGATCATAACCTGAGCCGAAGTCAGATACCTAACTGACTGAGCCACCCAGGCACTCTGTGCATCAAATTTGCTGAATACACAAACAAAAAGAAAAGAAATAAAACAGAAAATCATACTGGAAGCACACTTAAAAGTAAGGAAAGACATTTCATGGTAAATAATCAATGCAAGAGAAGGATATCACAATACTAAATACGTATGTAAGCATCATCATAGCTTTAAAATATATTTTAGGGGCGCCTGGGTGGCACAGTCGGTTAAGCGTCCGACTTCAGCCAGGTCACGATCTCGCGGTCCGCGAGTTCGAGCCCCGCGTCGGGCTCTGGGCTGATGGCTCAGAGCCTGGAGCCTGTTTCCGATTCTGTGTCTCCCTCTCTCTCTGCCCCTCCCCCGTTCATGCTCTGTCTCTCTCTGTCCCAAAAATAAATAAACGTTGAAAAAAAAAATTTTAAATATATTTTAAAAGATTGACATAATTAAACAGAAAAATAGACAAATCCATATTCATAATGGAAGATTTAATACATCCTTCCAATATTTAGAATAAACAGATCAAAACATAGTAAAAATATAAAAGATTGGGACAATGGAATCATAAATTTGACCTACTGATACAGGTAGAATATTGACCAGATAATGGGCCATAAAGAAAATCTTATCAAGGAGTGCCTGGGTAGCTCAGACTCAGAATACCTGCTCAGGTCATGACCTCACGGTCATGGGATCAAGCTCTTCATGGGGCTCCACTAAGTGTGGAGTTGGCTTGGGATTCTCTCTCCCTGTCTATGTCTGCTCTTCCCCTACTGGTGCTCTCTCTCTCTCAAAATAAATAAACATTTAAAAAAAAAGAAAATCACATCAAATTTTTAAATTGCTTTTGTAAATTTTTTATTTAAATACCTGTTAGTTAACATGCAGTGTAATATTAGTTTCAAGTGTAGAATATAGTGACTCAAAACTTACATACAACACCCAGTGCTTATCACAAGTGCACTCCTTAATCCCATTCACCTATTCAACCCATCGCCCCCACCTACCTCCTTTCTTGTAACCATCAATTATTTCTCTATAGTTAAGAATCTGTTTCTTGTTTTCCTTTCTTCCTCTTTTTTCCCCCTTTGCTTGCTTGTTTTGTTTCTTAAATTCCAAGTATGAGTGAAATTATATGGTAATTGTCTTTCTCTGGCTGACTTACTTCACTTAGCAATTATACTCTCTAGCTCCATCCATGTTGTTGCAAATGGCAAGATTTCATTCTTTTTTATGGCTAGGAAATATTCCATTCTATATGTATATGCATCACCTCTACTTTATCCATTTATCAGTCAATGGACATTTGGGTTGTTTCCGTAATTTGGCTATTGTTGCTGCTATCAACATTGGGGTGCATGTAGCCTTTTGAATTAGTATTTTTGTACCCATTGGGTAAATACCTAGCAGTGAAATTGCTAGATTGTAGAATAATTCTATTTTTAACTTTTTGAGAAAACTCCATACTATTTTCCAGAGTGGCTGGACTGGTTTGCATTCCCAGCAGCAGTACAAGAGGGTTTCCCTTTCTCCACATCCTCACCAACACCTGTTGTTTTCTGTGCTGTTAATTTTAGCCATTCTGACAGGTGTGAGGTGATATGTCGTTGTAGTTTTGATTTGTATTTCCCTGATGGTAAGAGATGTTGAGCATCTTTTCATGAGTCTGTTAGCCATCTGGGTGTGTTTCTGGAAAAATGTCTATTCATGTCTTCTGCCGTTTTTTTTATTTAATTTTTTCATGTTAATTTATTTTTGAGAGAGAGACAAAGTGCAAGCAGGGGCAGAGAAAGCAGGAGACAAAGAATCCGAAGCAGGCTCCAAGCTCTGAACTGTCCTCACAGAGCCCTACGCAGGGCTCGAACTCACGAACTGTGAGATCCTGACCTGAGCTGAAGTCAGACTCTTACCCGACTGAGCCACCCAGGTGCCCCTCTTCTGTCCGTTTCTTAACTAGATTATTTATTGTTTGGGTGTTGAACTTTATAAGTTCTTTCTATATTTTGGATATTTATCTTGTGAAATCTTAAAAGATTGGAGAGTGGTCACCCTGTGTGTGGTGAGAGGAGGGCGAGAGGGACTGACTGAAGGGACAACCGGGGCTTCCCTGAGACCTAGTGCTGCGCGGTTTCCTGAGCTCGGTGCTGCTACAGAGGCATCTTCACCTTCTCGAGATTCAGCAGACCCTTTGCTTCCCTTCTCTTCATGCTTATCGTATTTCAACATAGAGTTTTAGCAATCCAGCATTCCAGTTTCTTGAGTTTTGAATTGTTAAACTCATTTATATCCAATGAGAGTGATCCTGTTGTTTCACACACGTATGTACACGTCCTTAAAAGAATAAGTGCATGGTTTGCAGGAAAAGCAGGTCGCAAATATCAACCAGCACTGCATTCTTGGCAAAGTTCACTCACGTTGTCTGGGTCTTGTTTGTGAAAGCGTTGCCTAACGTCAAGCTCTGTAAATTATTTCCTTTTTAATGTTTATTTATATTTGAGAGAGAGAGAGAGAGAGCATGCGCAGGGGAGAACACAGAGAGACAGAGACAGAATCTGAAACAGGCTCCAGCCTCTGAGCTGTCAGCACAAAGCCTGACTCATGGCTCGAACCCACAAGCTGTGAGATGATGACCTAAACTGAAGTCAGAGGCTTAACCAAATGAGCCACCAGATGCCCCAGTAAATGATTTTTAAAGGAGCTTTTATTATTATCTTTTGAGGTTTACACATGATAGACCTGAATGGGTTTGAATAATTAGAGAGTTAATGAAATCCAAAGTTTATCACCGGTTACACATTCTTGCACATTCCAAGAACCTGAGCACATTCCAGCAGAGAACATGCCTGGGTTTATAAGAACAAACCAAAGCAGGTCACAGCATTAACATTCAGTGGGAATACAGTGAAAATCTCATTCCAACACTGGCATTGCTGGGGTTTGTAACCGATTTTTTCTTTTACTTTGCAAAAGTTTCTGATGGGCGGAGCATCTGGTAATCCCTTTCATTCCCAAACTGTGTCTCACTTCCTGCTCTAATCACAACTTTTAGCAGAAGAGCAGCTGACATAGTGTAAGCAGTGTCGGCTATTAAATGTGCCCCTAAAGGATCCTCAAAATGAGATTTCCAGCACAGATTGTTTGGCTTATGTGGTGGACTGTTTGTGTTGCAGAAGGTAAGAGTGAAAAAAGAAAGCCTTTTATGTGTTATAAAACATTTTCTGTTCTGCTTTTCACAGTGGTATTAGGAATTTGGTCTAGATTGTGATTTAATTACTGTTCTGTAGCTTAATGTGTGAGTGGCTTTTGACATTGTTAAGTTTCAAAAAATAGAAGCAGCTTATTTAGATGTCGTGATTATTCATCATCATTTTATTTAATGTAAAAATTCAAAACATGTTTTAATATTTTGAAAGCTGTAATATAAGCATTTCCCTTGTAATTATCATAAAACATAATTTTATGCTTGGAATTTTTACCCAAATGCTTTCTGTGAAAGTATTAAGAAGCATATGAACATATATAGAACCAGAACAGAAATTAGACAATAGAAACCTTCAAATCATCTAATGACTAGATTTATCTCAGATATAGATGTTAACTCTTTCTAAAGAAGAATCCCTTTAGCATTTACAACTGTTATTGTCACGGCCTTAAAAGTCTTATAGACAAACAAGCATTACTTGTACCTTTGGCATGAATATATCATATAAATTTGAAAAAAATGAATATGCAATGTTTGTACATCTAAATATTCTAATGGATGTTTTCCTGTGGTTGTATTTGAGGTATATTCTAGAAGACCAGTCTTAAGAATAGTGAATATGAATGTAGAAGATTTTATTTTCTGGCATTAGTAAGGGAATTTCTGGACATATAATTAAATTTAATTCTAACACTACTTCTCAACAGATTAAAAACTTTCTTTGGATGGAATTTGGTTTCTAGTTCATGATAGGAAACTATGTGATACTATTTGATTTACTTTTTTTGAATGACATTTTTAAAACAAATGAGTTACCTATCATTCACAAATTTCCAAAACATTTCACTAAGTCAACAAATTTTTTTTGAATGCTTGCTTCCTGTCAGCCTCTATGCGTTGAGAAATACCAACAAATAACACTAAAGCTCTGTCATTGATGGTCTTTCAATCTAGAAAATGAAGGCAGATATCTCTCTTTAGTTATATTCCTCAGTCATTTTTTAAGGTTTATTCAAATATGCTTCATTTTTTTTCTGAAACACGGTGCGTTTTTAGTATCACATTCTGATATGCTATTGCTTGATTTTTAGGTCAGAAACCTTATATCCAGCCACCTTTGAAACTAGCTATACAATCATTTCCCTGCATATGTAAATATTGCAGTGTGTATTCAAATGTAAAATATTATTGTATTGGCAAAGAGTTCCAGAACACTCTTAATGCTACAAACCATTACAAACATCTTTTTCTGTACACAAGTGTTTTTGTCTTTTCTTTAGCAGGAGTATGTTCAGTGTCTCAATATTTACATATTGTTTGCCTAGGCTTTATGTAGACATCATTTGTCATGTAAGGAAGATTTGTTTTCTTTCCAGCTCATGTTTAAAACTCAAGAATTGATGCCAAGTTTAATTAAACTGTTTAAGTGATTACAAAGTGGAATTTGAAATTTTAAAATCGGGTGCTATAAGCATGTATTAAAAATTAAGTAATAGTGATTTAAACTACTTACTTACATAATCAATTCCAGCTGACTCATTTCACCTGTATTTTCTATTTCATCAAAATGTGTTTAAATGTGGCATCCGTTTCTGCTGGTGAATTGGGCATTAGCACTCTACATACTATGGTGAGACTGACTCACCATATCTGGCTACTTCCTAACAGAGGAAGTATAGCATTACTATTTAAAGCAATCCTTAGGTTAGCCTCATGATTTTCACAAAAGCACACATGATGCACAAGTGAGTAGGAAAAAAATTACATGAATTTTCAGCAGATATAGAACTGTGATTTATTCCTTCTTTGCCAAAAAGTTCTAAAATTGGCTTGAAATGCCAATTCCATCAGTCTACCATACCTAGCAAATTTCACTCAGCAAGATAGCCTTGCTCATTAAAAATATCTATATATCCTTTAGTAGTTGCCTCTGGCTTTATTTCCCATGTAGAAATAAATATGAAATAGTAAATTGAGATATTGAGAAATACCACATTGAATAGTGAATGGTAAATTGAGGAATTGAGAAGACAGTTTGGAACACCAGCACAATCTGCTTTACTCAACCAGTCTTAATGTTTTAGCATTTCATAAATTGCCTCTGTCCTGTTCAGAGTGAACATTCCTCAAAAAATCCTCCTCACTCTAAAGAGGAATGATAGCCATAGGAAGAATTTATTGGCCCAAGTTTCATGGAGACCAGTTAGTACCTTTTCGATGCAATAGGCTCTCTGCTCTGCCATTGCCAGGTGTGTAGAAACATTAGTTGTTTCCTTGTAAAACATCGCAATTGAACGAATCACCACAGGCTGCTAAGAACTGGTCATATTTACAGGACAAAGTTTAGAATAACAGTCCCTCAATCTTACCACATAGTTTCTGTTTTCTGGGATATATTATGACCAAGCTTTTCAAGTAGACCATTTAGACTTCGGGTCTCAAAAGTGTATAATCTTTGAAAGTAACCCCAGCCCAGAAATTCTTGGCTGAGAAATGTGAAAAAATTAAAACCTACTGAAACACGTCCAAGTACACACTGGCTATTCTTTTTGGAGAGATATAGGTGTTATCTATTTCTGGAGGCTTAAAGGGCAAAACATGTTCTTTCAGGACATAAAATATATTATAGATCAAAGCTAGAGAGATTCTCTTCTATCAGAAAGTAAAGCAAAATAATTTTTATATATTGTTTCAATGCAAGATGGTTTCAAGTTTGAGTTAACCCGAAGTGGGAAGAATAATTGATATTGTAAATCATAAGAATTACTTATAAATTAATTAAAAGTACTATTTTATAAAGTATACGTGAATGTTATACATAGTTATCTAATCCAGAACTTGAGGTGATGGTTTTAATCCTAAATTCTATGTTTCAATTCCAAAGTGATAAATAAGAATTCTTCTTCTCCCTTCACAAAAAACCCAAGTTTTCAGAAATAGTTGTGTGGTGTTTACCTATGTGATGTAATTTAAGGTTGTGCAATAGCCCAACTGCCTTCAATATCCTCTTTTCTTTGAAAATGTGTAGGGGCACCTAGGTGGCTCAGTCAGTTAAGCATCTGACTCTTGGTTTTGGCTCAGGTCATGTTCTCACAGTTTGTGGGGTTGATCCCCATGTCAGGCTCTGCACTGAAAGCTGGAGCCTATTTGGGATTTCTCTCTCTTTCTCTCTCTCTCTCTCTCTCACTCTGTGCCCCTCCAGTACTCACACTCTATCTCTAAAAATAAATTTTGAAACATTAAAAAATATAAATTGCATTTAAAAAAAAGAAAATGTTTTACACATATAAATTCAACAAACCTGAAATTTGTGTAGAATGAAAAATACTCTGAATACTTTAGAACAGTTAAATCTAGTATTATTTACTGACTATATGGTGAATTATTATAAGCTGAAAAGTTCTGTATTACAATTTTAGTGAGGAAAGTTAGAAATGGATGATGAGGGTGAAGAACAGGACTAAGAAACTCTGGAAGGTGAGGTGGCCACGGGGAGTGGAGATCTGATGGGTGAAGCGTGACAGTGAGCGCCATGAGAAGGGTCAGAGCAGATGCCCCGGCAGTGTCATGAGAGGGAGAGGTGTGCCACAGCAAGCCTTGTTTATTTTTAATGTAGACATATTTGGAGAATCCATATGCTACTCTTCTGCCTGCATATAATGTTAAACTAGAACTGAATTATTAAGTATTGCTGAAATTGTTCTTAACTGAAAGTAAGTCCCCCAATGACGCATAAATTAGTAGGTTCTTCATCTTTGGCCTTTGATAGCTAGGGTTTCTGCCAAAGTCTACATCGATCCACTTTGCTCAATCCCTCATTGTTATACAGCCTTTGCACTTTTCCTTCTTCCCAGTTATGCCTCTCCCTCACCCCACTCACCATCCCCTACCTGCCCAGGATGTAAGATTTTCCCAACCAGTCTATCCTGTGCTCACTTACCTGATGTGCTCTTTACCCATATCTTAACAACTTTAACTAGTTTCAGAATATGGTGCATAAATAAGAGATGATGTAATTGAGGTAAAAAGTGCTAAATTTTAGGAAAATATCACAAAAAAAGAACAAAAGGAAAGGGGTAAAAATATTTGAAAGACCACTTTTATGTGTTTGGACATTTTAATTGAGAGAGCCAAGTTTCTCAAACCATGTTGACCAAAAATGTAATAGATAGGAAAGTGATTATAGAATTGTTCCTTCAAAGGCTCCCAAAAGCCTTTTTGAACAAAATTAAAA